CGCGGACGGCTGCCATGACCCCACAGGTTTTGTCCACGGGTGGGCTTTGCGCCCCCCCCTTGTCCACGCCCATTCCTGTGCCCTGTCTCCCTAATTAAAGCTGTGCGTAGCCCGCCTAGCTTTTAGCGGAAGAGGTTCGCTCTCGCCCCGCCGACCAAAAATTGTCCACGCCAACGCCCATGTGGCGCCGAGCCTTCCATGCCCTCTCGCCCTCCTGACGAGCCCCGGAGCACTCCTGGTCCGGGGTAGCGGCCAGCGCGGCGAGCAGAGCGGCCGCCCGGCCCTGCGAGAAGCAACATCGGAGCGCACAGCACCCACAGCGCAGACGCTCCTCCTCCTCCTCCTCCTCCTCCTCCTCCTCATGCTCCTCCTCCTCCTCCTCCTCCTCCTCCTCCTCCTCCTCCTCCTCCTCCCGTGCAAATCGACGCGTGCTCACTCCGCTGCAGCTGCTCACTGAGAAATCGACTGGGCCCCCAGGATCCCGCGAGCCCAGGAGGCCAGGTCGGCAGCCGTGGAGCGGAGCTTGGGGAGCCCCCCAGCTCCCGCAGAAGCGGCATCGGGAAGCGAAGGGACACTTTGTCACACCTTGGAGATGTGGAAGCCTCCCTCCACCGCCGCGGAGGCAGGCAAACCTGGCCATTGCGACCAGACCCTGAACGCGCGATCAAGCCAGCACACCTCAAACAAGAGAGGCCTCTTGTGCGGCCTACTCTCTCGCTTCTGACTGTCCACCTGCTGGACCTGCAGGTTCTCCCCCCCCTGCGCCCGCACTTGGACAACTCCGCCTGAAGATTGTAGGCGTGTTCGTGCTCGGCCTTGTTGGCCCAAGCACGGTGCAAATTGGCCAAACCTCTGCGAGCGTCTCTGGAGCCCGCCCCAGCGCGCGAAGCTACCTCCTCCGCGGGCTCAGCCACCGGGGCCCAATCGGGAGCCTCTGGTAAAGGGTCCGGTGGGCGCCGAGGGAGGCAGGGGAAGCGGGTTCCTAAAGGACAGGGTCTTGAGGCGGCAGAGGTCCAGGGTGGAGCCCAAGAGCCACGGGGGAGTGGGGGCGGTGGGGGCCCAGGCATCAGTTCTAATATCCCGAACTCTTCCTCAATCTCCAATATCAGGCGATCTCAACCTGATCTCAACCTCCTCCTCCTCCTCCTCTTCTTCCTCCTCCCTCCTCCTCCTCGCTCTCCGACCAAAAGATCGAGGTTCGAGGCGGAGTCAGGCGATCGCAAACACGAATTAAGGGGGCGTCCTGGATTAGCGACGGGTCCCGTTTCCATGGGAAATCGCGGGCTTCCGCCGCCGAGCGAGGCGGCACCGGCCGCACTTTGGGGAGGGCACCTCCCCCGATTGATGGATTTGGCGACCGCGCGCCTAATCCATGGATCGCTAATCCATGTTTGCGCGCCCCCGATCCTTTGGACAGGCAGCTGGAGACGATGGAATAATCCTAGTTCCTCCGATCCTGGGCAGCGGTGGGCGCGCAAGCGCCAAGGGCTGCAGAGACCAACCGCGCAGCAAGATCCTCGACAAGCTTGCACCCGCATGGCACCTCGGGCTCCATGTTGCAATCGCCCCCTATCATGAATCACCTCAAAGAGCTCGAGACCAGACCCCCAACCTTAACCATATATAATGAACAAATAGTGATCCGACAGGTCCTGGAAGTCATGCAGGTGGCAGCTCGCCGCCAGGAAGGGCTCCTGGTCGTGGAGATCCACCAGAGTAGCCAGTGCCCCGTGGGGCACCACAAGAGTTCCCGTCGGTGGCGCAGCCAGACCTGAAAGCCTCGAGACAGCACCGCCACCCCACCCGAGGCGCCCGAGGCTGAGGTACGCCTAGCTGGCTCGAACAATCCTTCCCGCCCGCGTCTGAGCGCCCGCGCCTGAGCATCAGGGGTCCGATCCTCAGCGATGTGATGTTCGATGAAGTGAGCGGCCAATCCTGGGCCGAGCTCCAAGAAGTGCAGTTGCACGCGCAGGCGCACCTGCGGGTTCGCAGACACCAGAACTTCGGCCCCATCCAGGCCTGCCCTGGCAAACTGGGGAAGGTGGAAGAGGCCGACGGGCCAAGGTGCGCACAACGCTCAGGGAGGAGGAGGAGGAGGAGCAGGAGGAGGAGGAGGAGGAGGAGGAGGGAAAATGAGGAGATCAAGGAGGACGAGGATGAGGGAAGAGGGAAGAGGGAAGAGGGAAGAGAAAAAGGAGGAATAGCGGAGACATTTAAGCCGCAGGTGATGGTTCTAGACCCCGGCCGGGGCGGGCGCGCGGCCCGCGGCGGCGCGCGACCGCCCGAAGAGCGAGAAGGAAAGGAAGGGGGAAGGAACGAGGACAGATGAAGGAAAGCAGAGGCGGCCCACTGCAATGCAAACTAGATGTAGTTGTGGTACGATGCGAGCGTGGACGCAACGCGGGAACCACTGGTAACCGATGGCACGATGGATGTGCAGCCTGTGCGGCGCATGACATGTGGTGCACGCTATGTGCTGCAGTGTGCGTGGTCTGAGATCTGCGGCGCACGCTGGGTGGCGCAAACTATATGGTGTAATATATAGGTGGAACGGTACGCGCTGTGCGATGCGAGCTGTGTAGTGCAAGATACGAGGTGCACTCCACGGTGCAGATTTTAAGCTCGCGGATCCTACTCCTCGCTCATACCCCACCCCCCCACACCCGCAATTCGCTTTGCCCAACCCATGCGGTCGCGATTGCGGCGACTACTTGGCACTGATTGCCGCATCTCTACGGCAGCGCTGGTGCGCGCATGCTCGCGCGCAGAGCGGCCAGTTGATTTGGCAGAAAAGACGCGATCGCGATGGCGCTTACCGCTGCGAGCTTCCCGGCCGCGTTCCAAAGGCCGGAGTGGTGCGCGAGCAGGTCAGTGCGGGTCGCCGGCTCGGGCGGGCGCGGTTTCATGATGACGTCGGCAACGGTGACAACGATGAAGATAGCAGCGATGGTGTTTGTGGTGATGATCATGACGACGACAAGGCCAATGACGGCGCCGATGCTGGTGACGAGCACGACGGCGATGTCCATATGTCGGTGCTGAAATTGATCGACTGATAATGGCAGCAATGGCGGAGATTGGCGATGCCAGTAACGACCGTGATGCGGCGGCGCTGATCCAGGTGATGGTGAAAAGTGCGCGCGCGAACGGAAATGCAAGAAGTCTGGTACAGTCGTCGATATTCGTTGTTGAAGAACATGTTCTCATTTGCGTTTGAAGAACTCTCTCTTTTTTTTTTTTTTCTCTCTCTCTCTCTCTCTCTCTCTCTGTATATATATATATATATATTCGGGCACCAATGTTTGTGGACTAGTTGCGACACGCGCGTGTGGCGGCGCGAGAGTGTGGCCCTCATGTTTTTTTCCCTACGTAGGCTCTGCCTAGAAGGGTTCTTACTCTCTTAGCTTAAAGGGGCCGGGCAGTGCAACACGCCCCGGGCGGTTCCCCCAGTCCCCTGGGAGCGGTTCCCCCCAGTCCCCTGGGAGCTTTAGCTTTAGCTTTAGCTTAGCTTTAGCTTAGCTTTAGCTTAGCTGTAGCTTAGCTTTAGCTTAGCGTTTCGCTTAGCTTTTCGCTTAGCGTTTAGCTTAGCTTTAGCTTGGCTTTAGCTTAGCTTTACCTTAGCGTGAGCTTAGCTGTAGCTTAGCTTTAGCTTAGCTTTAGCTTAGCTTTAGCTTAGCTTTAGCTTAGCTTTAGCTTAGCTTTAGCTTAGCTTTAGCTTATCTGTAGCTTAGCTTTAGCTTAGCTTTTCGCTTAGCGTTTAGCTTAGCTTTAGCTTAGCTTTAGCTTAGCTTTAGCTCAGCTTTATCTTAACTTTAGCTTAGCTGTGGCTTAGCTTTAGCTTAGCTTTAGCTTAGCTTTAGCTTAGCTTTAGCTTAGCGTTACTGTTACTACTAATGCTGCTTTCCTAGGGGTTCCAACTCCTAGGTAGGGTCGCACTGGGATACTTTGTTTTTTTCTGTTACGGTTTCGCGCGTTGGGAGCATGCCAGATTAACGCGGACGCGCCGCGTGTTGAGGTGAGAGTGCGGTGGTTGGACGAGGTTGCTAAACACCGATGTTGTTGTTCTGGTTTCAGCTCGCGCGCGGGCAGAAACCTACAATCTGAATATGTTTGCAGTTGTTAGTGTGTACATGCTGAACGGCGTGCCGGCCTGGTAGGTCTCCCCCCATGACTTCGGCACGCGCGCGCGTTGTGGGTGGTGCGAAGTTCGCTGGGAGGGGGCTGTTGTGCTACTTGACTTGACGAGGAGTTCATGCATCCATTTGTTCATACGTGGATCATTGTGAGAAATCACATATTTGTTGAACATCCCATGCCTTAAAAACTGCCCTGTAAGGGCTGGATGCCGCCTGGCTTGGCACGGCACGAGTTCGCACGGCAGGTGGGCGATCGGCACGCCCGCCCAGCGCACGAGGAGCCCACGGGGGCGCCCACGGGCGGCCCCCCCCGCGCGAAGCCTCGGCGCCCCCCTCCCCGCGCGCACGCGGCGCGCCCGCGGGGCGCCCCGCGGGGGGCCCACCCGCGGGGCAGCAGCCCAACACCTGCAGCACCCAAGCGTGTTCACTTTCGAGTGGCCCGAGCGAGGGCTCCTCGAGCGCAGGCGCGGTCTGGGGAGGCAGGAGCCGGTGCGCGAGGCGACGGGAGGCGCGAGGCCCAGGTGGCTGAGGCGGCAATGCCGCGAAGGAGCGTTTCGCAGGAGGAGGAAGGGGAGGAGGAGGAGGAGGAGGAGGAGGAGGAGGAGGAGGCGGAGTGGGAGGCGGAGGAGGAGGAGGAGGAGTGGGAGGCGGAGGAGGAGGAGGAGGAGGAGGAGGAGGAGGAGGACGAGGAGGAGGTGCACGGGAAAGAGAACGAGAGGGAGAGAGGGAGAGAGAGAGAGAGAGAGAGAGAAGGCAGGGATAGCAGCAGCAGGAACAGCAGCAGCAAGAGGCGTAAGCATGCTGGCCGTTGGGACAGGCGGCGGCTCGCCCACGGCGCGAGGACGCCATGGGAGGTGGGGGCAGGTCGACTGGTCCTACGCCAACACCACAGCGGGACCCTGGACGACTCTGACCAGCTCCTCCTCCGTGTGGTCGCAGCTCACCGCTCCGGTCACCGACTTCCCAGGCAGCCTCGGCAGAAGCACTCGGAAGGAAGCCAGCGGGTCCTGCGGGCCACGGACCCCGCATCCGTCTCCTTCTGTTGGGCCCCCGGGGGCCCACCCTCGGCCCCCAGAGCGCGAAGAGTTGCTTCGGGGAGCAGGTCCAGACGCAAGTCCCCGGGGCCCAGTGCCCGTTTCCACCCGGGGACCTGCTCTGCTCATGCCAGTGCTCCAGACCCTTCTGCGTGCACCTGCTTGCCGGGGTCTGTTTCGCTCCGATCGACGTGACTCGATATCAGTTTCGGCCGGCTCGACCCGATTCGAGTTCTGACGATCCGACGTGGCCTGCTGCTCGCATCGCGTTGTTGTCGCATCTCATCTGGGTGCGGCCGATCCGATTCGTTGACCGATTCGACTTTTATCTCAGGGGCAACGACAGGGGGGCCTCAGGGGGGTATAGGCATGGGAGGATGTATCGACCCCCAGTCGCCCATTGATCGCCGATAGGGGCCCGATAGCCCCAGCCTGCCCAGGAAAGTGCGAACTCACCAGCGGGGGCCTGCCGCCGATCTGCTGGCAGTGTATCGCTGATTCCAGGTCGAGGCATCCCCCTGTGATACCAGTCCCCCCCCGGTCGCTGCCCCTCATTGATTTTGATGCCGATGCAGCCCGACCCGACGCATATCCGATGCCATCCGAGATTGCCCGACTCGTCGCCGACTGTTCTGGCCTGGCGCGCCACTGCCAGCTCCGTCGCCCTCGCAGCAGCGCGGCGGTGGTGCCTCCCAGCGCGGTGGTGCCTCCGATTTCTTGAAGGATCCTCAGAAAAAAACGAACCTTCCTAAAGCATCCAAACACCCGTGGAAGGTTTTTTGGACTAATCCTCCTAAAAAGCCTTCCCACAACCTTCCTCGGGAAGGTTTTGGGAAGGTCTGTGATTCCCCAGCAGAACCCAGGCGTCCAGCGGTTTTGGATCTGCTCTGATGAGTGGGCGGCCCCCCTCGACCTCTCGGCTCCCTCCCCCCGTGGCCGGCTTCTTCACCCTGAGCCTTTCTCTGTTTGCTCCTGCTTCCTTCCGAGGCGGGAATTTACACATGACCACCGCCTGGAGGGTCAGTTTTCGGAGCCTCGGCAGGCGGTGGATATGGACATATTCGGGCCCCTGGGTGGGGCCGAAATACATCCATATCCACCGCCCGCTGGGGCACCAGGACGTCGGTTCCCAGGCGGTGGATATGGGCTTACCTCGGCGGAGCAACTGGACCGAGGCCGCGGAGCAACTGAAACCAAGCGGCGGAGCAACTGACACCAAGCGGAGGAGCGGCGGAGCAACTGAGCCAGTTGTTGGCCCAGTTGCTCCGCCCGCCCATCTCAGTTGCTCCGCCCGCCCCCCGCCCCCCCTGCGCCTCTGGGGCAGTCTCAGTTGCACCTGGGGTGGTTGCAGCTGCCGCAACAGAACCCAAGCGGCGAAGGGCGTGGAGGAGGGGGGGGAGGCGGAGGAGCGGAACGGGAGAGGAGGAGGAGGAGGACGAGGAGGAGGAGGAGGTGGAGGAGGGCTATCGGAAGCGAGCGGGCGAGAACGCAAATAACATTGATTTTCTATGGGTGTTTGAAAGTTTTTGGCTTCTTGAGCCTCCTTGGGAAGCTTTTTGGACTCCAGGAGCCGTCTCGGGGCGGTCCTGGGCCCTGTTGGAGCGTCTTCGGGGCCATATTGAGGAATCTTGCGCCATCTTGGGCGAAACATTACCCTCTGGCACCTCGCGGGGCGCCTCTTGGGCCCGTCTTGGGGTGCCTCTGGGCCCCTCCGAGTGGCACTGGGAAGGGTGCAAGAGGGCCCCTAGAGGGCTCCCAGAGGCCCCCAATGGGGGCTCCAAGAGGCCCCGAAGAGGGCCCAGGAGTACATTATAAAACAAGCTGTTTTTATAAGCTGGCCTGGTGCCCTCTTGGGCCCGTCTTGGGGCGCCTTTGAGCCCCCCCGAACGCCCTGGGAAGAGCCCAAGAGGGCCCCTACAGGGCTCCCAGAGGCCCCCAAGAGGGCTCCTAGAGGCCCCCGAAAGGGTCCAGGAGCACGTTATAAAACAAGCTGTTTTTATAACCTGTCCTGGGGCCCTCTTGGGCCCGTCTTGGGGCGCCTTTGGGCCCCTCCGAACGCCCTGGGAAGGGTCCAAGAGGGCCCCTACAGGGCTGCAGGAGGCCCCCAAGAAGGCTCCAAGAGGCCCCCAAGAAGGCCCCGCAGTACCTTACAAAACAAGCTGTTTTTATAAGCTGTCCTGGGGCCCTCTTAGGCCCGTCTTGGGGCGCCTCTGGGCCTCTCGGAAGGATATGGGAAGGGTCCAAGAGGGCCCCTAACGGGCGGGTCGGGTCGGGCCGGGCGGGACATTAAAGTATGATGCATCATCGAGTTGGCACGCGAGTACCCTAACGGGCGGGTCGGGTCGGGTCGGGCGGGCGGACCCTAACGGGCGGGTCGGGTCGGGTCGGGCGGGACATTAAAGTATGGTGCGTCACCGAGTTGGCACGCGAGTGCCCTAACGGGCGGGTCGGGTCGGGTCGGGCGGGCGGACCCTAACGGGCGGGTCGGGTCGGGCCGGGCGGGACATTAAAGTATGGTGCATCATCGAGTTGGCACGCGAGTACCCTGACGGGCGGGTCGGGTCGGGTCGGGCGGGACATTGAAGTATGGTGCATCACCGAGTTGGCACGCGAGTGCCCTAACGGGCGGGGCGGGTCGGGTCGGGCGGGCGGACCCTAACGGGCGGGGCGGGTCGGGTCGGGCGGGACATTAAAGTATGATGCATCATCGAGTTGGCACACGAGTACCCTGACAGGCGGGACGGATCGGGTCGGGCGGGCAGACCCTAACGGGCGGGACGGGTCGGGTCGGGCGGGCGGACCCTAACGGGCGGGACGGGTCGGGTCGGGCGGGCGGTCCCTAACGGGCGGGTCGGGTCGGGTCGGGCAGGACATTAAAGTATGGTGCGACATCGAGTTGGCACGCGAGTACCATAACGGGCGGGACGGGTCGGGTCGGGCGGGCGGCAGTGGCGACGACGACGACGACGATCAAGACGACGACGACGACGACGACGACGATCAAGACGACGACGGCGATTACGAGGGAGATAATGATGAGCGCGTTTTTCCCGGCCGTAAGCATCCTTACGGCCTGAAGAAGAAAAACAAAAAAAAAAACACGACGACGACGACCACTACGACGACCACGACGACGACCACGACGACGACGACGACGACGACACGACGACGACGACGACGACGACGGCGACGGCGTCGACGACAACGACGACGACGACGACGACGACGACGACGACGACGACGACGACGACGACGGCGGCGGTGACGGCGACGGACAACTGGTGCGTTTGGACCCCGGGAGGGATGTGGGGACCCATCTTTGGGCCCCTCCGAGGTCTCTGGGAAGGGTCCAAGAGGGCCCCTACAAAGCTCCCAGAAGCCCCCAAGGGAGCTCCAAGAGGCCCCCGAAAGGGTCCAGGAGCACGTTGTAAAACAATATGTTTTTATAAGCTGTCCTGGGGCCCTCTTGGGCCCGTCTTGGGGCGCCTCTGGGCCCCTCCGAGGGCCCTGGGAAGGGTCCAAGAGGGCCCCTAGAGGGCTCCCAGAGGCCCCCAGAGAGGGCTCTAAGAGGACCCGAAGAGGGCCCAGGAGTACGTTATAAAACAAGCTGTTGTTATAAGCTGTCCTGGAGCTCACTTGGGCCCGTGTTGGGGCGCCTGTGGGCCCCTCCGAGGGCCCTGGGTCGGGTCCAGTAGGGCCCCTTGAGGGCTCCCAGAGGCCCCCAGAGGGGGCTCCAAGAGGCCCCGAAGAGGGCCCAGGAGTACGTTATAAAACAAGGTGTTTTTATAAGCTGGCCTGGTGCCCTGTTGGGTTCGTCTTGGGGCGCCTTTGAGCCCCCCCCGAACCTTTTGGGAAGGGTCCAAGAGGGCCCCTAGAGGGCTCCCAGAGGCCCCCAAGGGGGCTCCGAGAGGCCCCCAAGAGGGCCCAGGAGTACGTTATAAAACAATCTGTTTTTATAAGCTGCCCTGGTGCCCTCTTGGGCTGTCTTGGAGCGCCTTTGGGCCCCTCCGAACGCCCTGGGCAGGCTCCGAACGTCTTGGGCCTGTCTTGGGGCCGCCTTTGGGCCCGTCGGAAGGCTCTGGGAGCCCCCCGCCCTCCGTCGAGGCCCCCCGCGGCACGCGCGGCCCCGGGTGCAGCTGGGACCGGAGCGTTGCTCCCTGCAAGGGTCCAGGAGGGCCTCTCTCGGGCCCTTCGCGGAAGCCTTCTTGGCGCATGGGGCAGCCTGGGGCAGTCTGGGTCAATCTGGGTCAGTTGGGTCAGTTGGGTCAGTTGCTGGCCCAGTTGCTCCGCCCACCCGTTTCAGTTGCTCCGCCCGCCCCCCGGCCCCCTTGACTGTCTGGGGCAGTCTGGAGCAGTCTGGGGCAGTCTGGGGCAGTCCGGGGCCTGTCTGGGGCAGTTTGGGGCAGTCTGGGGCAGTCTGAGGCAGTCTGGGGCAGTCTGGGCCAGTCTGGGCCAGTTGGGGCACTCTGGGGCAGCCTGGGGCAGTCTGGGGCAGTGTGGGGCAGTCTGGGGCAGTCTGGGTCAGTTGGGTCAATTGGGTCAGTTGTTGGGTCAGTTGGGTCAGTTGGGTCAGTTGCTGGCCCAGTTGCTCCGCCCACCCGTCTCAGTTGCTCCGCCCGCCCCCCGGCCCCCTTGGCAGTCTGGGGCAGTCCGGGGCAGTCTGGGGCAGTCTGGGGCCTGTCTGGGGCCAGTCTGGGGCAGTCTGGGGCAGTCTGAGGCAATCTGGGGCAGTCTGGGGCAGTCCGGGCCAGTTGGAGCCCTCTGGGGCAGCCTGGGGCAGTCTGGGGCAGTGTGGGGCAGTCTGGGGCAGTCTGGGCAGTCTGGGTCAGTTGGGTCAGTTGGGTCAGTTGCTGGCCCAGTTGCTCCGCCCACCCGTCTCAGTTGCTCCGCCCGCCCCCGGCCCCCTTGGCAGTCTGGGGCAGTCTGGGACAGTCTGGGGCAGTCTG